GAGGATTATAGTACCATGTAGCCATGTGGCTGAAGGATTATAGCACAATGTAGCCATATGGCTTGAGGATTATAGTACCATGTAGCCAGGTGGCTTGAGGATTATAGTATAATGTAGCCATATGGCTTGAGGATTATAGTACCATGTAGCCATGTGGCTGAAGGATTATAGTACCATGTAGCCAGGTGGCTGGAGGATTATAGTACCATGTAGCCAGGTGGCTGAAGGATTATAGTACCATGTAGCCATGTGGCTGAAGGATTATAGTACCATGTAGCCAGGTGGCTGGAGGATTATTGTACAAGATTATTTACAAATACATTGGCCTTGTAAAGAAGCATAAATCATGAAGAAACAAACTGCTCCTCCAACAACCTGGTGAAAGAAGGACAAAATTCAGAAACCTAGCTGCACAAGATTACCTTGCATGTGAGAGATTGAAGTTTACTGCAACTTTGAGCGAGGATTGGACATATTTGTGCAACTGTAACAAGAAACAAGCAATTTGTTGCTGACCACAGGGATGAAAAGGACTTTACAAAATGATACAAATAATGTAAAATATTATTTTTGTCAGACATTTTGGTTGTACAGATTTATCATATAAACTTCATAGAGTGCACAAAGTAAAGAAAAAGTAAAACCTACGCAGAAGAATGTACTCACACCAATTACATGAGACGAAATTATTGCACTGTACGGGCAGAACACCAATACAATATGGTTATACCAGAATAAAGAGTCATATCACACATAGTAGCATTTCTACGAACCACTGAAAATTAAACCATTGTGTTCAGATTATCCCCTTCTCTGACATACCTTTGAAACCACTTGGATGTGCACCCACAGAGATTTATTTATTTTGCTTGAACATGCTCTTGAAAGCTGACATCCACATACAGTGAAGTGTACGTAGAAAGCTTGTCATGATAAATGGTCTAAGATGATCATGCAGTTTCTCGCTTAAACTTGTTTCAATTGAAAAGCATGCGTTTTCCAAGGTATGCATGTTGGGCTGCATATCAGAAGGTATGAGGTTCGAGCCACAACATGCAGCTGAATATACTTTACTGCGAGAGGAGCGTCATAGCTCTGAAAATCAAACTCGCTATTTTGTAGGAGTAGTCACTTAGGCGGCTAGTCCTACTAACTAGTTGTTGTCCCTTGGATAAGACGTTTCTAAACTAGAAATGCCTGAGCCTTAGATGTCTCTGGCATGGACATTTAGTTAATGTATTGTATAAGGTGCCATTCAGATTAATAATATATAATACTAAGAAATTGATACAGTGGAAAATGTGGTGTTTGGCAATAATGAATAATCCTGGCCACCAGACTGATTACAGTCAATGATGACGGAAGTAGTTTCGAAGACAACACAGGGCATTTACCATCGTTCTTACATAGGACAATTCACTCCCGGTAATATAACTCCTCTATAACACTTTACCTACATTAATAAAAAAAACTGATAATGTAAATTACCCACCAAAGTTTGGCAGGAAGCCCTATTTTTCTAGTGTAGCTTTCTTAAAATACTTTAATAATACCTACAAAATCTGGTTACTTAATAAAGTCAGCACATCAAAATTTTTATGGTACAATGATTTTTAGTATATTTCATGGTAAACAGAGGAAAAGTCCAGCCGTTTATTTAACAAAGTAAGAATTATAGCATGTTTCTTTTATTATTTTTACACCATCTTAAAATCAAGATCAACAACAATCTGGTTACTTACCAGACAGTATAATTCAGGTTCTTTATAGTATAACTCCACTATCATAATTATTTCTACACCATATAAACGTATATAGACTATAACAAATTGATTAGTACTTACCAACTGAAAGTAATAATTAAACAATGCACTTATTTACCAGAGCCAAGACTTTAAATCTGACGAAATCTGATCTTTCATAGTCTAGGTCTCCTACAATGCTTATTTCTGCTTTACTACTTCCACGTGGTCCAAACATGTACTTAATGGCAAATATCTCAGATCCCTAGGAGAAAAAGAGGTACTAGAAGTGTCATTTAAACTAACGTACAAATACTGAACCTTAAAATCGTAAGTCAATTGTACAGAAATTAATATATTTTGGAGGCAACTTTGAACAAGAGAAAATCCGTTAGACCAATTTCTCCTTATTTTGCATAAGTTTAGGATTCAGTCTCTTGCTTTGAAAAACGTAATGAAATTCCCAAGATACTGTTTGGATGTTATGAACAGTATTCCAAAACAAGGCTATCGTTTGTCAGGGCTATTCAAATTATACTTTTTCGGAGACTGCGCACTTAGTAGAAACAACAATAAATGACTTTCACCGGTTGACGTCTGTCAACAACTGAACGACCTAAGACAATGAAAATGGTTACAACGAGAAGAAAAACGTATTTCATTCTTACCATTTCTTGTGCTTCGCAATTATAATTTTCTTGTCAAGTTTTGATTGGATTTTAAAGTTTTTGGACGACCTGTCTTTTTAGTTGTTTTAACAGGACTTTCTTGTGACTGCATCCATTTCGTGTAAACATCCAACCCTGCACTTGCAACTGAGACTAGGGTAAAGATGGGTTTCGAATTCTCTCAGTGTATAGTAACTAGTTATCTCTTTTTTATAGGTCAATCACTTTACCAAAGACAATGACTTTCACCAGACTCTTGACTTAAACGGAAGAGAACTCATAGTAATATTATGTAGCATATATATTTTATGAAAGTTATAATCATTTTTCGACGAACTGTGGTTAAATACTTGTCTTTAATCACTAAAAGAACTCATTTAGTTATTTATCACAGGATTAATAAAAGACTAGTCGATCTTACAAGAGGGTCTGTATTAGCAAATATATACGTAATTTCGAAAAGTCACATACAACACACATTCGCACGCACACACACATATATACGCACCGTGGTCACAAAGACAAATCCCCCAGTGGCACAGCGCATGTCTGCAGACTTATAATGCTAGAAACCGGGTTTCGATACCCATGGTGAGCATAGCACAGATAGACCATTGTGTAGCTTTGTGTTTAATACAAATAAATAAACAGATGGATATACAAATATGTCTGCATATATGGTTATACTTACTGGAAAATATTACAAAAACATGAGTCAGACTGTTGAGTTAAATAACTCACAGTAATGTCACAGAAAAACATTAGTAAATACTTAGCACTAACCTGAATTTCAAAGGAAACGGGAAGGTTACTGTTTTCCTTTTCTTTAACTACGACGTGGCCGATCACTTCACTTAGAGGAGTATTCTGACATAAAATAATTAAAAAGAAGTTATTGTAAATGTAGAACTTATTTCCAAACTTCTGACACGTTGCAAGTAAATTACTCAAAATTTAACTTTAAAAGTACGTATACAGCGTTTCCGAAAAGTCAGGAACCATAGGTGATTTACAGTCTTTCTTAATTTCAGATACGTCACTGATTATCCTGCTGTCAAAGCGTATGAAGGTCGAGTTAATTCTGCTATTAATCCAAACTAGTCTCGAATTACAAGGACAACATGTGAAACACATTCTGTAAATTGTATTGAAGTACCTATGGTTCCGGACTTTTCGGACACCCTTTATGTGTAATTATAACTTTACATACATGAGGCCGTGGATAGTTGTTACTATGAGCATTGTAACAAAAGTCCTGTATTGATGGATTTGTGGGCTAGGCTTTCTTATGTGTCCAATTTGATGTCGCCAGTGTTCTGGGGCAAATTTCTCCGAGTACATATCTTACACAAACATATAATAATTTGTAAATGGCAGACGATGGACAGAGCTTTCTAAACACATATAATATGTTGAGTTTGTGTTAAATGTTTCCAGCAAACAAAGGAAATAAAAATTGGGGGTGTTAAAAATCGCATGTCGCCAGCAGAAAAATTTAATTTCAAAGCAATAATACAAACACAAAAATTGTAAGTATGACTCAAGACTTTGTTGTGATTAACTTATGTTTTGAAAATTTGTTATTAGCTGATTGTCCCATTACTTTTTCACATATAAAAATATCCAAAATATTATGTCGCTGTAATCATGTTTTCTCCTTTACGGTTGATTATTTTCAAGACAATAATTACAAATTTTTCAATAAATAAAAAGATTAGAGTCTAAAATCAATCCAGGAAGTATATAATTTGATTTGTTTGTTTGTTTTTTTTGTTTGTTTTTTTTG